GGTCAGAAGAGGCCGAGCCATGTGCAGATGATGATGAAGAAGAGGAGAAAGAAGACAAAGAAGAAAGCAAAGGAGGCAAGAAAGAAGGGAGAGAGTTGGGAGACGCAGCGAAGAACACTCTGAGGAACAGCAGCTAGTTAGCATTTAGAACCTTCAGCGCGAACGTGCTCTTAGATTATGGCCTCTCCATACATCATGGTCTTCTCAGAGTTTGTGTTCAATCTTTGCCCTCACCAGCTCATCTTTGCCCTCTTGACTAGTTAGCAAGTAGAACTTTCAGCGCGAACGTACTCTTAGATTATGGCATCTCCATAATCGTCTCATCGTTTGTGTTCAGTCTTGCCTTCACTAGCTCATCTTTGCCCTCTTGGCTTGCCCAGGTAAGACGGACAAAAATGCATGGGACAAGTTCGATCGATCGAGGAAAACTTTGAAGTTTCCTGAGTCCCTGAGACCGATGCTGAAGCGCCAAAAGACAGAGCTTTTCAACTTGTGGCTTGAGAACGGCCGAGATTGGGACAAGGTCGCATGTGTTGTCGAAAGACAAACAGAGACCAAGAACTTGGCTCGTAAACAGTGGACAGCGGTGCAGGCCAAAACGCTGAAGGCGTCCATGCCTGAAGACCGATTCCAAGACCTTATCAAGAAAAGGACTGAGGCTGGACTCTACTACAAGGATGATGACTATCCTGATGATGAGCTGGACTGGGGTCTGAAAAAAGTTGAACGTGTTAAAGTTTGGATCCCGTTGTGTTTTGACATGTTCCCACCACACCGATTAGGTCTTCACCACCCACCACCGCACCTAACTGCTATCGTTGCTGTTGACCTGCAGGAAACCTGGTACTACATGCCTCAGGGGAGAGTGGTGCGCCAGGATGACAGCACGTCAGAGCTTCTCAAAGTCCAGGCTCAAAAAAAGTTGGACCGGGGCATGCTGAATGAAATGACGGGAGACGACGGTCCTCTGCAAGCAGGAGCGTTGCCTGCAGTGAAGGCGGCCTCCATCGGTGGCGCCCAAGCCCTCTTGAAAGCCTTGGATGACGATGGAAAGAAGGTCACAAAGCCACCGAAGAGGAGAAAGGACGAAGAGACAGCAGAACCGGTGAAGCCCAAGACCATCCTTGAGCTGGGGCCTCAACATTTCTCAAAGGTCAAAATCAAGACTCAAGACATTCTTTGTGAACAAGAGAACCAAGTGACCTTGTAGGATTCTAGTATGGTACCTGTGAAATAGTCTAAACTATATATACATATATATAGGATTCTTGAACCTGTGTTGGGACACTTGAAAATAGGATTCTTGAACCTGTGTTGGGACATTTGAAAATTCAACAATGCGCCAGGCTTTGCGCTGGGTTCACGAAGAGGTCTTTGAAACATCGTTCAAAACACCCTTTGTTTGGAAGAGGTCATCCACGAAATAGGTTCTGGTTCGAAACGCGTTCACCAAGCGTCCGCTGACCAACCATGGTTCGATGGTCAAGAATCCGAATCCAAAGCTCGCCAAGGTCTGGCATGGAAGCGCTGCAGATTGTCCTCAGCAAGGCAACGACGGCGCGCCAGAAGTCAATCCAGCTCAAAGGTGTGGAGTTTGCTGGTGAGTTGGCGACGCAAATGCTGGGTCATGCAGTTGAGATGGAAGGTGTGTATTCTCAATTGAAAACCGCAGTCTCCAAAGAAGAACCATCTGATCGTGAAATCTCTCGGATCCTAGCCATGGTGGAGACAAAAGGGAAATGGTTTGAGAAAGCTGAAGCTTCAGCAAATGGGATGCTGAAAGGTAGCAAAGCCAAGAAGTCAAAAGCAAAATCCAAAGCGAAGACAAAACCCGGTAAGCCTGAGTAAGCTTCCTCTCAGTTTTGGGTGGGGTATGCAGCACTGATGTCACGCAAAAGTCACGCGTGCATCGGAAAGTTGTTTTTGACAAATCGTGAGCGTATGATCATACGGTCCAGCTCTGATTGTCGATTTGACTAGTGGCGCGAAAGCAAAAAAGGTAGAGAACGCGTACAGCCTCATCTCCCAGTCAGTGTGACAGTTTGCTTTCGCTATGCGAAGTACAGGTGGTACAGGAATCTATGTTGGGTGACTCAGGGCTTATTGGTATTTCCTTTTTCCATCCTTGCATCATGTGTGCCAGGCGAAGATTCTGCCAAAAGGATACGACCGGAGCCGAGTTCTTTCAGGGAGAGTGCGCTGCTTCACAAGCTTCTAGAGCTGGTTGGAAATGGTGGGTCCCATGTAGCCACTGCCACAGAGATTGCCAGGGCTGCGGAAATTGACTTTCCACACCCACTTCCAGATGGACTCAAAAAAACTTGCTAGCTGTGGAGCGCATGGGGCATGCGCCAGCAACACAGAGAGGGACTTTCGAAGGTGGACACGTGGTGCTTACGGGTTCCGTTTAGAACCATATCCTATCAAGCTTACCTTGGAAGCTCCTCGAACTTTAGCTTTTTCGCTGTACTGTTTGAAAAGGTTGATGACCATGTAGTCATCCGGGATCCGTTCACCACCTTTGCAAACCAAGCTTCACCTTTGGTGGCTGAATCTCAGGTGCCAGGCGAATGTCTTCCTCAGGAACACGATGCGTCTGTGCTGCTCCCGCACGAGGTCTTGGGGGCTTTGTACGAAACCGATCAGGCTAGCCTAAGTCCAATGGTTGTATTGGTGATCAACTAGCTGGTTGTGTTGTTGTTTAACTGGTGATGTGAGCCGTGCTGTTCTTTAAAAAAGAGGGGTAAACCTTCGGACTCTTTGAGGGATGAATCTTTTGTCGTTGCACCCGCCAAACCCTGTGAGTTTGGATCATTGATGTTTGGCAACCACAGCGGCGCTTCGATTCTCAGGTTTTGGAATCACCTGAAAAGCTTGCCCGGATTCAAGTATCACACGGTTTTGCAATCTTTGACCCCTGAAGAGTTGAAGACATCAATACCGTGTTGCATTCATGGGGATGGTGCTGAAATGTTCCGTGACGACGAGTTCTGGGTGATGAACTGGAGCAGCGCTTTCGCTTCTGGTGGGGGCCATGACTGCTTGGTGAACCGATACCCCATACTCATTGTTGCAGAACGCCAAATGCTGGACGAAAACGTCTTTTGTTTACATTTGAAACCTTTTGGTGAAGTTTCCTAAACAGCTTGAGAGCGCCTACCTGCCCTCCCAGACAAACACCCTTCCCGGCAAGTTTGGATTGAACGCCGCAGTTCATTGTCCCCCAAAGGGTCTTTTGCCCAAGCTCAGGTACGCGCGGGTGTCAACAAAACGATTGCTGACCTTTGCGCCTGGTCATTGCACTATGCCGCTCTTGGCATTTATCGACATCGAGGGTTCTATGGGGAAGAGTTCGAACGCAACACATACAGGAGTTCTTTACGTGGACAAAGAATTGCCGGTGGCTCCAAGCTCCTAGGCTAACCAATGGCTGACCATTTTTGGGTGGTATTTGGTCACAAATTTTGCCTACTTACATCTTCAAAAGACCTTCCTGTAGTTAGGTTGATCTACATGGCTTTCAAAGCCGATCTCAAAGCCAGAAAGCAATGTCATTTGTTGGAAGAGAACTACCTTTCTCGGCGAATGTGCGACCGTTGCCAAGCCGTCCAACTATTCACCATGGCCCACGACCCCCTCAGCTACAAGAACCTGCAAGAAAACGCTCCCTATACCCGCACTTGCAAGGGCCATGACGAATACATCCAAGGGGCAAGGCAGATTTCGCCCTGGGCTGTCGTGCCAGGGTGGCAATTCGAGAGCCTCACATTTGACATGATGCACATCATCTTCTTAGGAATTGCAAAGAACCACATTCCTTCTTGTCTCAAGATGTTGAAGTTAGCAGGATACCATTATGAAGTAAACGAATCTGACGAGCAGTTCCTCAAGAAAGTGAGCTTCAACATGCGACAAGATTGCAAAGACCATAAGCCCCTTGCGCTGAGTAGTATGCCACAGAACTGGACACTTCTCACATTCGACCATATATATATACATATATTCTGCGACGCGGCCCCAACGTTCCAGTTCTTGGCTAGTACACTTTCACTTTTGTTGAAGCGAGTTTTCGATCCTAGGTTGAACATTACAATGTTTGCCGCAATTCGAGGAGGTACTTGCCACGTCGGTTGCTCACACTGTCAAACACGGGATCTTTTGGTCAAGATGACTATTGCGAGTTGGGTAGCCGCTTCAAAGGGCAGCATATTAAGACCATGGTTTGGTGGATTGCCTACCACGTGGGCAAACTCACGAAGGATTCAGTCACTCACTCACAACAGTCACCCTTTTAGTTCATGGACAAAGGGTCAACCCAATCTTCCCAATACACTTTTGCCAGTGGCTTTATGCCCAAGAGTGATGTGTCTGTCACATGTTTCGGGGCCCATTTCTCAAGGTTCTCCCTCCACCGCAACCGGTCGCCAAGCTGCGAACATCTTGATCAGGAAGACGGCGAAATGCAGCTGTTGAACGTGTGCGCCTTCTCCTTGGCAAAGGCCATCGAACTGATTGACAATTCTGGCTTGATTCTGTCATCAGAGGAAGCTAGCGAGCCCCGGCCAGACAGAGATTAGGCCCACAAAACCTGAGAGTCTAGAGTCTCTAGCGCAATACATTCGTCCCCAAACCATCCCAAACCTGTTTGGTGTTCAAGCCCTCTCAAGTGGCCAGTCCACTCCTGGCCCCTACTTGCATCCCAGGAAATCACCAAGTTCCTCCTGATGCACTTGCGGACCACAAGACGTCTTGCGTCAATTTGTTGGGGGAATGCCATTATGGCGTTCAAGATGCGCCCAAAGCACCATTATTTGTGGCACATCGCCATGGATGTAACTGCCACGAAACTAAACCCACGACTTTTTCATGTATGGGAGGACGAAAAGTTCCTGGGCCGCATCAAACGTATTGCAACGAAATGCCATGGTGGCACCGTTCAAAGAAGAGCTTTGGAGCGGTATGTGTTGGCTTTGTCGAACTACATGTCGAGCTTGGCTTAGGGTGGCATAGCGGCTTCAATGTTGGAGAGGTAGTTTCTTCAGAGCGGTACCCAAAATTAATCATCTTTAAAACCCCATCGCCACTGAAAACGAGTTGGGGTCGCTAAGCCCAAGCATGAAAACTTTTGGGGTCTCTGCAGGGGGTTATGCAGCCCAAACACCACGCAGCTGCAGCGCGCGCCGCCAGAAAAGAGCCATGCAGAGATGCAAAGCACATGGCACGGCAGAATCGTGAATGCGTGCATGTCTCAAAATTGGGAACCATACGTTCAATGTTTAATGGTATTATCAAGAAAAATCCACATTTGGCAGGTCCCAGCTTTGAGAAACGCCCATGTGTCATTTGCTAGAACGTGTTCTTCTATAGGTTTCAAGGAGGTTGTGTCCATGTCTATATATGATATATATGTAGGCAGGGTTTGGTGTAAAAAGGTTTGCTGCCGTACCATTTTGACCGCCCACCTTCGCAAGAAAAATTCTGAGTTACAGCTTGGGTAGGCAAGTCAAATGGCTCAAGACCTGCGTCACTTAAGTGGCCGCGCGTGTTTTGTATGAATGAATGCAACCGGCCACCATGCGTGGTGTCAAAGCGACATTTAAAAAACCGTTGCGTCACGTATATACACCCAGTATATACACCCAGACCCTGTGTCGCCAAATGACATGGGGCGGTGTGCGCTGATGTCGTGTGTTGTCCAGGAATGTCGCGCGCCATGGTGATGTCGTTCGTGGCACAGCAGTGTTGGGTGGGCTTGTGATGTCGTTTGGCGTCCGACCATGTCGTTTGCGACGGCGATTCTGATTATGTGCCAATTATGTTGCTCGAGCTGGCGATGCCGGCTGCTGCCCGAAGCACGTTGCGCGCGAATGTCTTTATCGCAATTAATGCATCAAAAATTACAAAGACGGCAAAAACTGCACATGCGTAAAGATCGCCTGGTGTCGGCACATGTCGTGTGGACTAACGATGTCGCGCGCTTTAGTGCAATGTTTTCCTCTTCTCTTTTTCCACTTGTCCTATTCTGAATTTGTCACCATGCAAAGCTGCAAGCATGTCGCATGTTATCGGAACATGCTATCGTTTCCCTTCCTCTGGTAAGAAAATACACAGGGCACTTACAATTGTGCATTATATTTATACGGCAATGTGCACGCAATCCTTTTAACTTGAGCCATGCTTGTATAGGCATCCGAGATATGCGATACATGCGACATCGTTATATACAGCGTCTATTGTCGTTTGTTGCCAATGTTGTCCTTGGCGCAACGGCGGATCCTCTAAGCAAAAGCGGCGGAGAGCTCGCCACCACCATGTCATCCGTGCGGACGAACTTTCCATCCTCCATCTCCACCGCTGGTCAGACTCATAATATCTGGATCCGGACCTGCCTTCTTTCTCGACCTCCAGTGGCCTTGGAACTCATCCCATCCCTTCGTAGTGACCATCACCCGTTGTCCCCACGGTATAAGCGTAGGTGTCACCATGCCCAGAGTAGCGAGCTATTGTCGGTCTCTCCTTTCTCCCACGCGCTTGGCCGCCAGGGGCCAATATTCCTCTCCATCTCCCGACGCCTTGATGAGGGTGTTGATAGCTCTGCGAACCACTCCCACCTCCGCTTCAGCACGGCCATTCGCCTTCCAATCACTGTCAAAGTGCGATATATGCCTCTGTCTTCACACCATTTTCTACTACCAAGCATCTCGGCTGCTCCATCGCTGTGCATCCTCCTAACGTCCAAGCCCAGGTACTTCAAGCGAGCAACCATTCTAGCCAGGCATGTCCTTACTTCCAAACCCTCCCGCGAAGTCAAGGTCTCCACCATAGTGTAATTCTAAATTTCGATCTCCTAGGACTCAACCTCCAGCCTCTTCCATTCTTCCAAGACCTTGGGGTCCCCCTCTTGCCAAGCCACTTCTTCGGCCGGCAGAAGATCTTTGTCATCCATGTCTTCAGCTGGTGGATCACCATCCATCGTCTCACCCAAGGCCAAAGGCCGCCACCATGCCCTCCACCTTCCGGACCGGAATGGCAAATACGCCCAGCATGAAATACTTGGCCTTCTTCCTCCTGTCATGACCAGGTCTGAACGGCCCACAAATTCCACGCCCAATGTCATGGGGCCCGGATGCGGCGCCTTCTTGTGCGGTCGACTCCTCCCACTCCCCTAAAGATACGTGGTGCACTCTCTGGCGTACGGAAGGTGATCATTCAAGATATGCTACCTCCACTGTTCTGGAGTCAGCTTGGCGACCATCTAGTCCTTTCTTCCCTGTTCATTGACTTGTCCCTCTCCAACTCTATGAGGATGCCCTTGACGATCTCTGTCTTAAACTCCTCTGGCCAGGCACTGCCTGAAGTTTTCTCCCCCAAGCTACACTTTACGTCTGGCAGAACCTGATCACGTCGACAATCTGACAGACCCTCCAACCGATGCAGGTATCGAATGTTCGTTCCCAGAGTAGTTGGTTTCCGTCTCGGATGACCCAGAGCTCCCAAGTCCAGGCGGATCTCTCGAACACCATACTTCTCGATGAAAGTCCTCCACTCCGGCCAGGCAAAGAAGGATGGGTAATCGACTGGATCACCCGACCCCTTGTACTCTTGGGGATCTCTAGGCTGTTCCTTCAAAAACATCACCATCTCGCGGACACTGCCAACGAATATAGCCAGAGCTACCTCATCCATAGGACCGCATCACTGAATGCCAGCTCCCGTAGGGCGTCTGACAGGTTGTCCAAGGCAAATCGCTGAGGCCCACTCCTCGATCTCAAAGGTGGTGGACCTCGCCGGCGAAACCGTAGTTTGGAGACAGTCCTACAAACAAAATGACATCCACAATACCTTCCTCGCACAGCTCCGCCAGGAAGCTAACCAGCTGATCGGAAAGTAAGTCCTGAGCAGGGTCTATCATCTTGTCCAGACATAGCACTGACCTCGATGATGTTTCCAATTTCTTCTTCCACCATGAGGCGTCAGGGCCAGAGAACAAATGCAAGATGACCGACTCCAAATCCATGATGCGCTTTCGCTGATGCCGATTCAAAGGCACCTGCTCACCAGTCCATTTTCCAGAGGGCACTAGCTAACAGGTCGTCAGGAACCTCCGGCCACAACTTCAACTCAGTGAGCCAGCCATCTCCAAATGTTTGGTGAAAGATCTCCTGGTTCTCCAGCTCGCAAGGCAGTGACCCTCTTCTCCATCTCAATCTCTTGATCCTCCAACTCCTTAATCAGTCGACGAGCCACCCCAAGGTCCATCGTAGGGCAACCAGCCTCCAAAAGGACTTCGATCTTCACTCCCCTGGGATCCAGCATCTCGAACTCTTCACGACCTTGTAGCCGAGCTTCACAACCTTGCCCAAGGGAATGATGAGCTGAGTGTCAAAGTCCGTCACCAGGGTACCTGTCGTCTGGACTTGCCTGAGTGTAGCCACACCGCCGCAAGCTCAACCTTGATTGGCAAAGCTTGCTCGAACTCCTGCTTGGACCTGGCTGGCCTCAAAATGTGCGTGGCACCTCCGTCGAGAAGAGCTCGAAGATGACCCCGATCCTTGTTCACCGCGCACACCGAAACAGTTTTGATCGAAGGTCTCAACGACTTCAACAACTGTACTGCCTCTTTAACCAGTGCTTCAGCTGGAGGCGGATCAAGTTCTGCAGGAGGTAGGAATGCACCATCGCCATTCGACGACTGTCCACCCTTGTCACCGGCCTTCCCCTCTGCTTCTCTTCCTCTCCGATCATCAACAGTCCCCTTTTTCGCAAACGGCTGATCCTTGACAGGACAATCCGGCTTCATGTGCTGCGAAGAGCCACAGTTTCAACATCTGCCGTTCTTCGAAATTCCTTTCTTGCACCCGGACTCGGACAGGCTTGTCGCCTGAACTGTGCTTTCCTTCTCCCTTTCCTCCCTTGGCATCAGCCTTGCCCGACTTTCCATCTTTGCCCTCACGAGCTTCTTTGCCTTCTCCACTATCTTTCGGTCTGTCATGCTTTCCATCCTTCTTCACAAGGTCCTCCTTATTGATTGACATTGGCTTCCCCATCCAAAGCCTTCACCTTGACGGACTCCTTGATAGGTAAGGTGGACCCTCCATGGAACACAGCCTCACCCTCTGCCAACAAGGACTCTGAAAACTGTTGAACGCTTTGCTCTGTAGGTGCTGTATCAACCGCCGCTCTGGTGACTTCAAGCCTAAATGCAACCTGCTGAGAATGCTTGGCAAGACCAGCTGCAAAACGATCCAAAGTGGACAACAGCAACACCCCGTCCGGCGGTTGAATGCCCAACTCCTGAACACGAGTCAACCACCGCTTCCATGACCTCAGGGCCACCATCCAGTCACTCAAAGGTGAAAGAACCTTCTGGTCCACCAGTTGCTTGAGGAGAGTCGTACGCTCACCAAGACCTCCAGGTTGATATACACGAAGCACCTTGAACATGATCCCAATCGAGCTCACCTCTCTTTGGGCCACAAGCTCCGACCTCAACGACTCGGGAAGGGCCTTGATCAAAGCAACCGAGCCCCTTTGTTCAATCCTCAGCCAAGGCGCCACCTGGAAAGCTGGTGGAGAA